GGAAAGGAAGAAAAAAGAAACCAGGAGAAATCTCTGATAAAAGAAAAATACAAAATAAGGTGGTCAGTGTAACTCAAAGTACATTGTAACGACAATAAATGTAAATAGATTAAATCACTCTATTAAAAATCAGAAATTATCAGCATGGATATAAAAAAATCAGTTATATGCTGCTTATAAGGCACACTGCTATACACACATGCACACAAACACACTCTGAAACAGAAAATATAAAAAGGAAAAAAAAGAAATATACTAAGCATATATGAACCAAAAAAGAGCTGGTGCAACAATATCTGTCAAAATAGAATATGAAGTCAACACATTAATGTGAATAAAGCAAATAAGCTATACTTCATGAAAAGGCTATAGAAGTTATAAATTTGTATTTGCCTAACAATATAGAGTTAAACTATAAAACACCAAAAGCCAACAACTACAAAAATTCAGAATTACAAAATAAAATTGAAAAGCTCATGTAAGCATAATGGCAAAATTTAACACCTCTTTCAGAAACCACATATTTGGAGAATATACAGAGAATCTGAGGAACGCATAGGACATAATTGTGAATTTACATAGGCCTGCACCCAAAAGACAACACAACAGAGGATACACATTCTCCTAAAGCATGCATGCAACACATTAGATATGTATAAAATTAACTGTATACTCTCAGTCACAAAAAGTCATAGTTATTCAAACCATATTATCTAATTACTATGTAATTTATTTAGAAATTAACTACTACCACTAGTAATTAAAATCCTATAGGTTAGAAAATCTGAAAAAAACAAAAGCTTAAACAATGAGTAAGTGAAAAAATACTTCACAAAGAGAATCATAAACTGTAATGGTTTTATCAACAAACTAAAATATGAAAAATTTGTGAGATATAGATAAAGCAGTACTTAGAAGTTATGAACAGTCTTATTAAATATATTTACTAAATTTAAATGAGCTAGCATTTAATCCAAGAAGCTAGATGAAGAAGTGAAAACAGTAAGAAAGTTGAAGCAACAGAATGGTAAAAGCAAAACACAAATTAATAACCTAGGAAAAAACATTAATGGAGATGATTTTTAAAATCTATTTCTTTGAAAGCTAATAAACTAGGCAAGCCTCTAGAAAGTTTGGTCAAGGTAGATGTGTACACACATAAATGCATTATCATATAATGGAATACTAGACGGAGTGAACCAGGTCATCCATACAGAGGAATCACAAAACCTATGGTGAAAAGATAAAATTGCTGAATAAGAATTTCTGTAGTTTACTTATTCATTTAACAATGTTTTGTATGTTTATATATACAAATTGTGTGTGTGTGTGTATGCATGGGTATGTTGTGGATATTTATGTAATAAAGTCACCTCTAACATTTTCTTAGGAAGTGTGAAGCACGTGGTGAAATGTTAGCATTTTTAAATCTTTCAAGAAATTAAATTAATATATGTGTGCTTGGAGTTTCTTTTTCCCCCCTTTACTCAATCCCATTCTTTCCTTCCACAGAGGTAATCACTATCCTGAAGACGGTGTTGTTTTGTTTTTTCTTTCCCAACTAGTTTTATATTTTTACATTTTGGAAAAACTCCCATTCTTACAAAGCAGTTTCTCTTTTTCCATTTTAGGAAATTATAACTTTCCTTTGACAGTTTGGTTTTCTAGTTGTTTCTTTTATTTGACAAAGGAATGATACCATTTTTTAAAGATTAAGCCACCTAAATTAATACTGACATTTGGGCCCAGGACCATAAGGAAGCCAATTTTTTCTTAGCACCAATTATGTTGTGGGTAAGTAAAACAAAACAAAACTGGAAAATAGAGTCACCATCCACTATAAATCTTCAGAGTATTACTGGCCCATTCGGCTAGCATAGAAAGAATTACAGAAAAATATAAAAGGCATCGTTCAGTGCTCTCTGAAAAGAAGTGGCTTCTTGTACTAATATATATTCCATTCACCAAATTCTTACATGTTGCTTTTGTGGAATAAACATTGAGTGATTATATATATATCCCACTTAATTTATCATGGTAATTAATCCCAACCATCCATGATATTAATTTGCTGATATTGGTAGCCTGTGAGTCGCTTTCTTTCTGGAATAAAATAGGAGAGTCATTCTAAGTACCTTTATTTTACTTCTGGAGATGTTTAACCTTAACTACATTACTAAGTGCAGATTGACTGATGACTACACACATCTTACTCCCAGGTACGGTAAAGGCCAATATCAGAATGTCTAATTGCCTTTTATTCATTCTAGATTAGGCAATTAAGTTCTTTTACAGTTTATCAGAGTTCCTAGGATCTTTTCCTCAAATTTAAGAAATAAATTGTTATTCTCAAGGAGACATTATGCTTGAGTCTCCTGAAGGAAATACTAACATTTATTAACCATTTTCCTAGGTCAGGAATCTCTTGAGTTGCCATTGACAAATAAGTTCAATTTCAGCTTTTCTTTACCTTCTGGTATTTCTAGCTCCTCTTCTTTTCTTTTTTTTTTTTTTTTAATATCTTCCTTGGCTTAAAAACTCACAGATGCATTGCCCAGCCATGTTTTTTTTTTGCCCCTTTTATTCTGGATTGTTGATATTTAGAAGAAATTTAATACAAAAATGCAATTATTCCCAAATGCATCACACCGATATCAGATTTTTTACATAATGAATAAAAATAATATATCCCAGAACTTGTGAATAAGGCTGTGAAGTCATATCTAAAAAAATTGGTCAAACTGATGATGTCTTATTGCCACCCATTGAAATTCCATATGTGCTGTGTTCTACCTCTTCAGTTTTAAAACTTGCAGTTGCTACCAATGTGTATAAAATCTCTACACCCTTCGAAAATTGAACATATTCATTCATATTTTTTTGAGTAGAAATTTAGCCAGGCATTAAAAGTAATATAAAACTAACACGAGATACAGTTGTTTACCACAGGAATTTGGATTTGCTGAATAATGTATGAACACACTGGCATAATTCCTGACGTTGCAAAGCAGCATACGAGCCAATGTCTAGTAGGGGCAAGCGCTCATGTAAAGAACAATTAATTTGAGATCAGGAAGGCTTTGTGAAATTCTGGGAGTGGAGAACCCAGATGGCTACCTAGTAGAGACCAAGGAGAGGTGAGAATTATAGTTAGAAAAGTGAGTGTGACTTATTCAGGGACCAGTAACGTTTCTGACCTAGCTAAAGCAAAGGATCTACAATGGGAAAGAGAGAAGGCAAAATTGATTACTAGAGCAGGTTGCATTGTGGAGGATCTAAAAAAGGACATTTTTTTCTGAAAAAAAAAAAAATTCAGGGGCACCTGGGTGGCTCAGTCGTTAAGCGTCTGCCTTCAGCTCAGGTCATGATCCCAGGGTCCTGGGATCGAGCCCCACATTGGGCTCCCTACTCTGCAGGAAGCCTACTTCTCACTCTCCCACTCCCCCTGCTTGTGTTCCCTCTCTCGCTGTCTCTCTCTGTCAAATAAAATCTTTAAAAAAAAATTCAAAGATCTATTGATGGCTTCTTAGCAGGTGAGTGAAATGGTAAAATCTGTGAGTTAAGAAGAAATAAATTCAGAGCGATGTTTATTAATGTATGTTCCCAGGATCATTAATTAATGGGGTTACTCCAAAAGGGCCAAGTAATGTCAAATAAATGTGGAAAAAACTGGAGCATTTGACTTCAAAAGGAAAATACAGAATTTCCCTAACCTATTTGACCAGGGAACCCTTTCTAGGAAAACTGTGCTTGGATCATATATTCTATATATATTGATACCAACCTCAATCTATACATTGACATATGTAATAAATGTCCAATTCTGTGTTTTTAAATAGCTCGCTTGGTGTCTAGTTTGATTCTCTGTTCCCAGATTGGTAGAAATTCAGGATCTCTTAATTTCCCCCAGGAGTGTGTCTATGTTCTGGAGTCTTCTAGTGCCAGGGAGTTAGAAGGCTATGAAATGGCGAGGTGGCACTTATCTGCTGCTTTGGGTCATTGATGTATACTAGCATCTGCTGAGATGTCCTAACTGTTCTCTGGTCCTGGGGAATTGGTCAGTACTACTGTTGTTGAGACATGTCTTTCAAACCTGGTGGCTCTCTGTAGTTCTTCCATACTATTCTGGAATTGATGGGAATACTTTTCTTACTGATCTGTTCCATGCTGAGGTATAAGAAACTCTATGTGGACCCACAGGGGCCCCATCTTTTTTAGACAAGTCAATTAGCTATTCTGTGAGGGCTTCCTGCTTTCTTTTGGCTTCTATCCAGGAAAAGGGGCAGATGTCCCATGTACCTAATGATTTTGGGCTTTTCCCATGAGATTTCCACCTAAATCTTCTACTCTATGCCATGAGTAAGTTTTGTTTCCTAGAAAGCTAAATTTTTAAAACTCATAAGCAACAAAGGGCTCCCTTTTCCTCATATTCTCCTATAGCTTCTATTCCCTGAGGAAGTGATTTAGTTGTCCGTAAGACAGCTTAAGACCGGGACAAGGATAGAGGCAAAGAATACCTGAGGTAAAAAATCAGTTATTATTTCAAAGATACTTCCTACCACACTTTGAATGCCTTTTAGGAAATGCTGATTATAATCCACTGAGGATTAAAAGCCGATGAATAAAAGGATATGTGTAGTAGTGGTGCTGCCTTGAACTTTGATTATCATGTGTGGTCTTAATAAATAATGAATGCCTCCTTGTCTTGTAAATCACTGTCTTTGGCATGGTGCTTTGCACAGTCCTCTCCCACATTAACTCTTGAAAAGCCTTTCTTGCTTCTGGCAACTCTTCCTCCACCATATGCAGAAGGACAGGCTAGCTCGTTGAAGACATGGGGACCAGCTGAGAGCCAACACCAATAAACAGACTCCTAGGTTAGCTCCAGATGAGCTGCGAGCTGACTGCAGGTGCTCAAGTGACCTCAGCTGAGACCAGAACTGCTCAGATGAGCCTCCACTGAAGTGTTGATATGAATCATAAACAAGTAAAATGGTTGTCTATCCCACTGAGTGATGGAATTATTTTTATTGCATCAGTATAAAAATATGCAATACACTACAATGCAACAAAGTACATAATATGAGATGGTAGGTATTGAAGACAGAGGAGATACTTTGTGGGAAGATTTCCTCAATATGGATAATATGAGATGAGGCAAGAAAAATTCAAATGGGATGAGCAAGTTCCTTGGAAGGGGCTCATTTTTCATTCATTGGAAAAACAGTTCATTTTATTTTCTATTTTATAGGAACTAAAGAAAACAGAAGAGTCAAGTGTCATTATGTAGATGGTAGTCTTCAGTGACTTAGAAAACTGTAGACAGGTAGTTGGGTGGAACCATGTCAGATGGGGTCTTCGTATCATTCTGCAGTTGCGCCTTTTTGTAAATCACTCTCACTCTCACTGGCTTGGATTCAAGAGGTTGATTTCCTGACACTACTGAAATGAAAAATAAACAATTGTCTTATATAAGCATATTCTCAGACACTACACTAGATTAATCTTAATTCCTGATGACATGTATTTTCCTAAAGACTTCCTCAAAGCAATGAGAAAAATGTCATAAAACCAAGAAATGTCAAAAATATAGAGGGATTGATGAGATGTGTCTCCAAGTTCTGAATCGAAAGTCTATTATAAGGTGGACTGCTACGAGTTAGCTGTGATTAGCTAGGCTCAAATATACTAGCTCTAGTCTCAGGGGCACTTCTCCTAGTCCTATTAATGGCTTTTTTTTTTAATTTATTTTACATCCATCACCTTATTTAATCTTTACAACAATTCTAAGATTTAGACAATATTTTTATCCACAATTTTAGAGAGAAAGAACTGATGCCAGTTCTTTTCAACCCAGTTCAAAGGGCACTGGAATCCTGTGGTGCCTCAAGAGCCCCTGAGCCAAAAGAGGAGGGAGGGGAAGAAAGGCCCCTTGCTCTGGCTTCAACCAGAGCACATCTAATATACATAAGTATATATATTGTGTTTAATAATTAGATATTCTAAATTTATAATTATATATTATATATATAACTAAACATATATGTATGATATGACATATATATATGGCACCCATTCAAATTTTGTTAGAGAAATTCCCAAACACTGTAGCATACCATGATGAGTCCTAATGCCCTTATGATCTACACTAGAAACTTCTTGAAGTCAGTCACCTCATCTTATCCTTTCTTTGGTCTCACAACAGTGTGGAACCTCCCTTGACCTGGGAGCCAGCCTTCGGAAGAAGGAGCCCATGGAAATCCTTGCCCTGGCGATGCTCTGGGCTCCAGAACAGCTCTGTCTAAGCATCTCCCATGACCCCTGGCAACCTTGCTGTCTGCTTCTCACTAAAGCCAATTAAATTACTCCCGGTACCTGCAGCCTTCTCGCTGTTACCACGACTCATTGAGTTCTCGCCCAAGAGGGAAGTGATGTCTTCTCCAAATATCCTGAGGCAATTTTCAATGAGAAATTGTACAAGACAAATCTGTAACACAAAAAGACAAGACTGGGGTGCTCTTTTCCATAGGGCATAGTTATAAATCACATTTTGTATACAGACCTTGGATCTAAGAAAAAATGGGAAGGACTTCCCAGTAAAATTCAGAGTTGATAAAAATACGTAGAAACCAGGGGCACCTGGGTGGCTCAGTCGGTAAAGCGTCTGCCTTCGGCTCAGGTCATGAAAGCAGGGTGCTGGGATCAGCCCTACATCACGCTCCCTGCTCAGCGGGAAGCCTGCTTCTCCCTCTCCCACTCCCCCTGCTTGTGTTCCCTCTCTTGCTGTGTCTCTCTCAGTCAAGTAAATAAATAAAAGCTTAAGAAAAAAACAAAAAAACAAAAACACATAGAAACCAGAGTTCTCTCAGAAATAACTTAGAAAGAGTGATACTTTCCCATGTACTTTGGGTACACATTTTAAAATACTGCTCATCCGTGGGCTAAAGTTATGATGCGTGGCCTAGTTTAAGAGCTAACATTTTGGGATCAGTGGTTACGTCTTTAAGCCTAGGATAAATTTCGGGGCCCCTCAGTTGAGCGTCTGACTCTTGATTTCAGCTCAGATCACAATCTCATAGTAGTGAGATCCAGCTCCACATGGAGCCAACTTTGGGCTCCATGCTCAGCAGGGAATCGGCTTGGCCTTCTCCCTCTACCTCTCCCTCTTCTTCTGCCCCTGCCCCTCTCACACTCTCTCTTTCCCTCTCTCAAATAAATACATATCAAAAAATAAATAAAACTAGGATAATTTTCAAAGTAGCCTACCTTATTAAAGTTTACTTATTTTTTGCTTTTAAATTTTGTTTCCAGTTTTACTGAGCTGTAACTGATGTATACCATCTTATGAAACTTTATAAAGTATGAACAAAAACTTAAGAAAACCATTTCTTAAATGAAGAAGTATCATAAAGTTGGGAAGCAGGGATTTTGGTGGGGTTGTGAGGGAAAACCCACACAGCTGGAGAGAAAATGTATCTGTCTGTCTAACTTCAGTCCCTTCTCACGCATTGCTTTGCCTCATGCTGGCTCTCTCTGGGTGAGCTTGGGGAAGACCTGTCATCTTATTAGGATATTCTGGAATCTCTTGCTAGTTTCCATACGACGTAGCAGAGGTGAAATAGTAGCTGAGTACTTTTCTAGATGAGCCACAATTGGCAGAGTAAGGCCAATGTGTTTGGAGGCATGGGGGCTCATATTGCCCAAGCCACCCAGGATGTGCCAGTGATGACCGGAGGAGCTGGCTGTTGTCGCCATTGTGTAGTGAGGAAACCATGGCTTTGCCCAAGGTTACAAGTCCCTCAGGGATTAGGCTGAGAGTTGAACCTTGACTGGTGAAGCTCCAAAGCCCAGGTTCTTTCCTATCGTATCACAGGACTCTTCTCTCTCTCGTTTAGTCAGTCTAGTGTTTAGTCTCCTGGAGGGTGAAGAAGTGACTCGACTGCTCCGAGTTTCCCGTTTAACGACACCCCTTCCCAGACCCTGCCAGAGTAGGATAAAGAACTCTGCCACTCCACAGGGGCCTAATGAAAATGTGCACTTCACAAAGTTCCATCCGTCAGAGTTACTACTGCACATGTCCGGTTCAAAGTAGTGCTTCTATCCCCTGGGGGACAAAAATGAGAGCTCTCATTACCTTTTTTATCAAATTGTCTTCCAATTCCAAGCTGCCGGAATCAGGTGGGTAAAGAACACTTGGGGCTATACAAACAGATAAATTATAAGCTGTCATCTGATTAGATGAGGAATGTTGCTCAATGTTGTATAGCACTCCAAAAAGGTATCGCAAGAGAACAACATTTGCTCTTGGCAGCTGGGCTAAAAGCCTAAGGTCAGAAAAACACACTTTTAAATTAGGCAAGTGATCCCACTTAGGAGGTTGGAAAAACAGAGACAGGGAACAGGATACATCCTTGTATATCTAGCACACAACCCGCTCTAGCAGAGTTCCAGGCATGAAGGTATACAAAATTGTTGCACTGAATTCAGTTCCTGAGCCAGATAACAACTTCTCTGCTTAGTTAAATGTTTCACAGACTTTTAAGGTCATAGCCCTGGCAGTCAATGCTCTAGCATCTGTCTTGGACCAGGGAATTTCGTCTACTAGTTTCATGGATCCAGAAGGGGTAAAATGGCCAAGGAGTCCACATTAATAAGATCAGGAGAAGAACAATAATAGACCTAAAGCATGCCTCTATTCTGAAGCTGGGCCCCATGGGTGTGAAGAATTGAAACTCTTTGGCGTTGGTCATGATTTCAGTAGGCAAAGCTGCAAAACGTAAGCCAATGTTTTCCTGATAGTATGTTGGGTGTATTTTGGAGATGAGACCAGAGTAGAGTAATTATGGCATCATTACCTCTGGGCTGCAGTTATCTTCTCCTCTTTGTTGCCTTGATCAATAACACTGAGCCATTTGTCATAGAGATCAGATAAAAATATACTTCCTTGGATATTTCTAAGAAAGTCCTTATGGAGATAAAAAAATATGTATATATATTATAGAAAATATTTATTGGAAATATTCCAGAGAATATATGTAGTTAAAAAATTCAGTTCAGCCCCCACTTCCTTCACAGATACCCAAACTGGGACCCACACGGAGCTCGGCTCTGACTCTCCATTGACTTGCACACGCAGGAGCAGGTGCTTGGATTTTCTCCCACTAAAACTTAGAGGCATAAAAGCAGAGCTTAGCCTGTGGTGGAAATGAAGATAAAGCTCCCTTCTATCATCTGGAACTAATTTTTTTGTGTGCTTTTTTTGCAAAGTACCACAAACTGACAGGGTCTGGCTATAGACCATCCTAAATCCTATTAGCTTCCTGGACAGAAATACACATACCCCTGATGCTTGTTTTAGACAAGGTGCTAGCTCTTAACTCTAGCAAGAAAAGGCCTGAAACAATCAAAACACAAACAGGTGGGCTCTTGCACACATATTAGGAAAGAACTAGGTCTTCTCACTCGGGGTATGTGTTCTCCCTGGAAGAAAGCTACTCTCACAATTGCTTCATTCTTCCTTTTCTTAACTGTCTAAAAGTCAAGAGTCTAATGGCAGACTCACTGTGGTCCTGAGGATAGATTCATTTCTAGTTTAGGACAATTGTCCAGTTAGTTTGCCATGATATTATCAAGGCCAAGGTTGCAGAGTCTGATTCTCCACCAAGATCCGTCAACTTCAGGAAGAGAAAACTTTAGAAATGTCTAAGCACCATACCCACAAGTGCACACCCTCTTCCTAGTCGGTGCTGATAACACAGAATCAGGAAGTAACCTCCTAACTCTTGCTAGAAAATCAATTCCATGTGTGCACCTTACAGTGGGCAACGCTCATCTTGCTACCTAGTGTATCATCATTCTTCTCCTGTCTCCTGATGCCTACATGTATATTACTACTGGATATCACTATGGCCCCAGAGTAGGAGTGGTTACCTAAGTCATTTGCTATTGATCACATCTTCGAACATTACGGGGGACAAGGGAAGACCAAATGTGACTGAGATTCTAAGACTGTACTCATTACTACATTAACATAGGGTTGTTCAGAGCTGTTAATTAGTGCCAAGGTGGATGGATTAAATTTTTTCCCTGCTCTATTTCTTTTGGAAACTTTGCCATCATTAGGAGGGTGGTGAGGATGTCTGCTTCGGTAAACAGTGTGTTTGTGTCAGTGCGTATTTTGAAATTTATTATCATGACTAGTAGTCATTTCAGTATTAGTATTTTGCATGGAGTCTTCAGGAGTGGAGGTGGGGAGGGCGGTGTGTAGTGAAAACAGAAAGTATTTCTAACACATGGGGCTTTTAACTCCTAAAGTAGCTTCCTTAAATTTTGATTTTGTCAAGCATTTTCAGCTTGTCAGGTTCTTAATCTATTATGCCCATTACAGTTCTTGAGCAGTCATGATGAAGGACACCAATCATAGCTTCAGTTACTCACGTAACTGATAATGCTAGAACCTTCCCTACCTTTAAGACGGATGCGACCACATGAACAGATTCGCTGTACGGGTTCACTTTGACGCCAGAATTTAGTTTTTTCTTTAGGACTCTGCAGGATTTTATATTGGCTGATTTGCGGAAGACGCCTTCTGTGAGTGGCCCTTTTTGATTAATAAAGGAAAGCATATCCTGTAGGAAGAAAAGAAAAGTATATGGCATCTCACATCCAAAAACGCAGAGCACAAGCTTCCCTCCGTTTTGAAAGAGGAGGGGAATGTAATGGTACACTGTTTTTGAGCTGGAAGGACTAAAGTCAATTTAGATTGTTTTTTTTTTTTCAGTGTCTCTCTATATACTTTCTACCCAAATATCCATTTTACAGTCATACACTGAAACATTTTAAACACTTCTTTTAATCAGATTTTCCTTTCCACTGAGTTTCCACTTTTAAATCAAACTTCTCTGCTTCAAGGCCTTTGGGGAATCACCATCTGTTTCCTACTTTAGCATTTTTTTCTCATTATTCCCTACATAGATGCTCTTCCCCAAGTATGGAAGTCTATTTAGGAAATACTCATTTCCCATTTGTTTATTTCTCTATAAGTGACTCTATACTCCTTTCCTACTTGTTCTATTTCCTTCCCTCTTTTAAAGTCAGGCTCAGAAACTCTCTTCTCCTTCTCTGATTACCCTCCCTTCTCATGAGTCTTTCATTGTCTTTTGCTATATCTTCATGTCCTTTCCCTGCTGTGTAGAAACTTAATAAGGGCTGGACTCAGGGAATCCAACGGATCTGAAGTCTATTATGCTATTTATCTATTGTGTGAGCTGGGGCACATACATCCTGTACTGAGGCTTTTCTGATTCGTTTAGGCAGTGCGGAGGATGATAATCCTAGCTAGCCCCTAAATTTGCTGTGATGCAAGGACCTGGGGTAGTAGCTAGCAGGTAACATGCTAGCTAAGGTGATACGTTTCTTCATAGCTAGCAGAACGTTCCCTACATACCGTAGAGTACTTGCAGAGATACCAAATACTCAGTGAATGTCCACACTGACAATTCACTAGAGCAGTTTGAGATAACACAGGCCAAACTCTGTTGCTTTCATTTGACATACTCTGTTAGGATTAACAGATTCCTATTTGCCAGAGGATGAGTCTATGCTCGTGTCAGATGATTGCAGTTGTTAGACTGAGTAGACTCCGCTGAAGGAGACTTGAGACTCATGTGAGTGCAGGAAGGCAATGAAGGGAGAGTGTGAAGATGAGGTGGACTCTCAGAGACTCACATACACAGAGTCCATTTTGACTGATCTGAACAGGCCTCCATGGGTCTTTGTGGAAACAAGACAGAAGTGGAATGGACAAGAATGTCTTTTCCTGTTGTATTTGCCTCATGACTCTGCTGGACCTAAATCACATTCTGTTCTTTGAAATAACAGTAACAGAGCTTCTCTGCCAAAGCCAGGGACTATGTAATGACTTCTCCATTTGGGGATAGATTTGGATGAGGACGCTTGGCCTTTCAGTTTCCGCTCCTCAGGAGGGCTATAGAAGACCAAAAGGAGATGACCTACCAGAATTGGAAAGGGCAGGTTGTCTTTATCACAGATATCCATGAGGGAAACTCCAAAGAGCTGTCCTGGCTTTGCGGAAGGTGGGGCTGTGCACTGGGTGAGCTGGCAAGTGCGGGAGCCCCACCAAAAGGCCCTGTCTCTGAAAAAACGGCTTTTCACAGTCTTCCAGCCGGAGTCTAAGAAGAAGAGAGAGTACTAGTAGTAGTAGTTGTTGTTTAATACGCTGAACCTTCTTTTTCCTTTTTTTTTTTTTTACAGATTTTATTCATATTTTGACAGAGGGAGAGAGACAGCGAGAGAGGGAACACAAGCAGGGGGAGGGGGAGAAGGAGAAGCAGGATTCCCTCAGAGCAGGGAGCCCAATGCGGGGGTCGATCCCAGGACCCCAGGATCATGACCTGAGCTGAAGGCAGACGCTTAACAACTGAGCCACCCATGTGCTCCAGGCTCATCTTAATTCCTAATGACTTGTATTTTCCTAAAGATTTCCTCAAAGCAATGTGGTAAGCATCATAAAACCAAGAAATGTCAGAAATATGGAGGGATTGATGATACGTGTCTCCAGGTTCTGAATCGAAAGTCTACCTTCTAAGGTGGACTGCTGCCAGGTAGCTGTGATTAGCTAGGCTCAAATCGTACTAGGTCTAGTCTCAGGGGCACTTCTCCTAGTCCTATTAATGGCTTTTTTTGGATTCCATCCATCATCTTATTTAGTGTTTACCACAATTCTAAGATTTAGACATTATTTTTATCCACATTTTAGAGATGAATAAACTGATGCTGAGCTGGAATAACTGGCCAAATATAATATAGCTGGTAAATGGGGGCATAGGAATTTACACTCTGGAGAGGTTGTTTGACATCAAGTCAAGTCCTTTTTTCTCAATGATGCCAGTTCTTTTCAACCCGTTTCAAAGGGCACTGGAGTCCTGTGGTGCCTCAAGAGCCCCTGAGCCAAAAGAGGAGGGAGGGGAAGAAAGGCCCCTTGTTCTGGCTTCAACGAGAGCACATCTTATATACATAAATATATATATTATGATTATATATTTATATAGAATAAGTATCTAATTATATATTATATATATAACTACATATATATGTATGATGTTATATATATATATATATATATATATATGTATATATATATATATATAGCACCCATTTAGAATTTTGTTAGAAAAAATTCCCAAACACTGTAGCATACCATGAAGTGTCCTAATGCCCTTATGATCTACACTAGAAACTTCTTTAAGTCAGACACCTCCTGTTGTCCTTTCTTTGGTCTCACAACAGTGTGGAACCTCCCCTGACCTGTGAGCCAGCCTTCGGAAGAAGGAGCAAATGGAAATCCTTGCCCTGGCGATGCTCTGGGCTACAGAACATCTCCCATGACCCCTGGCAACCTTGCTGTCTGCTTCTCCCTAAAGCCAATAAATTACTCCCAGTACCTGCAGCCTTCTCGCTGTTACCACGACTCATTGAGTTCTCACCCAAGAGGGAAGTGATGTCTTCTCCAAATATCCTGAGGCAATTTTCAATGAGAAATTGTACTAGACAAATCTGTAACACAAAAAGACAAGAATGGGGTGCTCTTTTCCATAGGGCATAGTTATAAATCACATTTTGTATACAGACCTTGGATCTAAGAAAAAATGTGAAGGACTTCTCAGAAAAATTCAGAGTTGATAAAAATATGTAGAAACCAGGGGCGCCTGGGTGGCTCAGTCAGTTAAGCGTCTCCGTTCGGCTCAGGTCACAATCCCAGGGTGCTGGGATCACCCCTACATTGGGCTCCCTGCTCAGCGGGAAGCCTGCTTCTCCCTCTCCCAATCCCCCTGCTTGTGTTCCCTCTCTCGCTGTGTCTCTCTCTGTCAAGTAAATATATAAAAGCTTAAAGAAAAAACAAAAAAACCCAAAAACACATAGAAACCAGAGTTTTCTCAGAAATAACTTAGAAAGAGTAATACTTTCCCGTGTACTTTGGGTACACATTTTAAAATACTGCCCATCCGTGGGCTAAAGTTATAATGCGTGGCCTAGTTTAAGAGCTAACATTTTGGGATCAGTGGTTACGTCTTTAAGCCTAGGATAAATTTCGGGGCCCCTCAGTTGGGCGTCTGACTCTTGATTTCGGCGCAGATCACGATCTCATGGTGGTGAGATGCAGCCCCACATGGAGCCAACTTTGGGCTCCGTGCTCAGCGGGGAATGGGCTTGGGCTTCTCCCTCTCCCTCTCCCTCTTCTTCTGCCCCTGCCCCGCTCACACTCTCTCTTTCCCTCTCTCAAATAAATACATATCAAAAAATAAATAAAACAAGGATAATTTTCAAAGTAGCCTACCTTATTAAAGTTTACTTATTTTTTGCTTTTAAATTTTGTTTCCAGTTTTACTGAGCTGTAACTGATGTATACCATCTTATGAAACTTTATAAAGTATGAACAAAAACTTAAGAAAACCATTTGTTAAATGAAGAAGTATCATAAAGTTCGGAAGCAGGGATTTTGGTGGGGTTGTGAGGGAAAACCCACACAGCTGGAGAGAAAATGTATCTGTCTGTCTAACTTCAGTCCCTTCTCACGCATTGCTTTGCCTCATGCTGGCTCTCTCTGGGTGAGCTTGGGGAAGACCTGTCATCTTATTAGGATATTCTGGAATCTCTTGCTAGTTTCCATATGACGTAGCAGAGGTGAAAGAGTAGCTGAGTACTTTTCTAGATGAGCCACAATTGGCAGAGGAAGGCCAATGTGTTTGGAGCCATGGGGGCTCATATTGCCCAAGCCACCCAGGATGTGCCAGTGATGACCGGAGGAGCTGGCTGTTGTCGCCATTGTGTAGTGAGGAAACCATGGCTTTGCCCAAGGTTACGAGTCCCTCAGGGATTAGGCTGAGAGTTGAACCTTGACTGGTGAAGCTCCAAAGCCCAGGTTCTTTCCTATCTTATCACATGACTCTTCTCTCTCTCGTTTAGTCAGTCAAGTGTTTAGTCTCCTGGAGGGGGAAGAAGTGACTCGACTGCTCCGAGTTTCCCGTTTAACGACACCCCTTCCCAGACCCCACCAAAGTAGGATAAAGAACTCTGCCACTCCACAGGGGCCTAATGAAAATGTGCACTTCACAAAGTTCCATCCGTCAGAGTTACTACCGCACATGTCCGGGTCAAAGTAATGATTCTATCCCCTGGGGGACAAAAATGAGAGCTCTCATTACCTTTTTTATCAAATTGTCTTCCAATTCCAAGGTGCCGGAATCAGGTGGGTAAAGAACGCATGGGGCTATACAAACGGATAAATTATAAGCTGTCATCTGATTGGATGAGGAATGTTGCTCAATGTTGTATAGCACTCCAAAAAGGTATCGCAAGAGAACAACATTTGCTCTTGGCAGCTGGGCTAAAAGCCTAAGGTCAGAAAAACACACTTTTAAATTAGGCAAGTGATTCCACTTAGGAGGTTGATAAAACAGAGACAGGGAACAGGATACATCCTTGTATATCTAGCACACAACCCGCTGTAGCAGAGTTCCACGCATGAATGTAGACAAAATTGTTGCACTGAATTCAGTCCCTGAGCCAGATAAACACTTCTCTGGTTAGTTAAATGTTTGACAGACTTTTAAGGTCATAGCACTGGCAGTTGATGCTCTTGCATGTGTCTTGAACCAGGGAATTTCGTCTACAAGTTTCATGGATCCAGAAGGTGTCAAACGGCCAAGGAGTCCACATTAATAAGATCAGGAGAAGAACAATAATAGCCCTAAAGCGTGCCTCTATTCTGAAGCTGGGCCCCATGGGTGTGAAGAATTGAAACTCTTTGGCGTTGGTCATGATTATAGTGGGCAAAGCTGCAAAACGTAAGCCAATGTTTTCCTAATAGTATGTTGGCTGTATTTTGGAGATGTGACCAGAGTAGAGTAATTATGGCATCATTACCTCTGGGCTGCAGTTATCTTCTCCTCTTTGTTGCCTTGATCAATAACACCGAGCCATTTGTCATAGAGATCAGATAAAAATATACTTCCATGGATATTTCTAAGAAAATCCTTCGGGAAATTAAAAAAATATATATATATACATATATATATATACTATAGAAACTATGTACTGGAAATATTCCAGAGAAAATATGTAGTTAAAAAATTCAGTTCAGCCCCCACCTCCTTCACAGATACCCAAACTGGGACCCACATGGAGCTCGGCTCTGACTCTCCATTGACTTGCACACCCAGGAGCAGGTGCTTGGATTTTCTCCCGCTAAAACTTAGAGGCATAAAAGCAGAGCTTAGCCTGTGGTGGCAATGAAGATAAAGCTCCCTTCTATCATCTGGAACTTATTTTGTGTGTGTCCTTTTTTTTTGCAAAGTACCACAAACTGACAGGGTTTGGCTATAGACCATCCTAAATCCTATTAGCTTCCTGGACAGAAATACACATACCCATGTTGCTTGTTTTAGACAAGGTGCTAGCTCTTAACTCTAGCAAGAAAAGGCCTGAAACAATCAAAACACAAACAGGTGGGCTCTTGCACACATATTAGGAAAGAACTAGGTCTTCTCACTCGGGGTATGTGTGCTCCCTGGAAGAAAGCTACTCTCACAATTGCTTCATTCTTCCTTTTCTTAACTGTCTAAAAGTCGAGAGTCTAATGGCAGACTCACTGTGGTCCTGAGGATAGATTCATTTCTAGTTTAGGCCAATTGTCCAATTAGTTTGCCATGATATTATCAAGGCCAAGGTTGCAGAGTCTGATTCTCCACCAAGATCCGTCAACTTCAGGAAGAGAAAACTTTAGAAATGTCTAAGCACTCTCCCCACAAGTGCTCACCCTCTCCCTAGTCGGTGCTTATAACACGGAATCAGGAAAGAACCTCCTAACTCTTGCTAGAAAATCGATTCCATGTGTGCACCTTACAGAGGGCAACACTCATCTTGCTACCTAGTGTATCATCATTCTTCTCCTGTCTCCTGATGCCTCTATGTATATTACTACTGGATATCACTATGACCCCAGTGTAGGAGTGGTTACCTAAGTCATTTCTGGACCTTGCTATTGATCACATCTTCGAACATTAACGGGGGACAAGGGAAGACCAAATGCGACTGAGATTCTACGACTGTAGTAATTACTATGTTAACATAGGGTTGTTCAGAGCTGTTCATAAGTGCCAAGGTGGATGGATTAAATTCTTTCCCTGTTCTCTTTCTTTTGGAAAGTTTGCCTTCATTAGGAGGGTGGTGAGGATGTTTTCATGGGTAAACTGTGTGTATGTATCGGTGCGTATTTCGAAATTTATTATCATGACTAGTAGTCATTTCAGTATTAGTATTTTGCATGGAGTCTTCAGGAGTGAAGGTGGGGAGGGCGGTGTGTAGTGAAAACAGAAAATATTTCTAACACATGGGGCTTTTAACTCCTAAAGTAGCTTCCTTAAATTTTGATTTTGTCAAGCGTTTGTCAGCTTGTTAGGTTCTTAATCTATTATGCCCGTTATGGTTCTTGAGCAGTCTTGATGAAGGACACCAATCATAGCTTCAGTCACTCGTGTGTGGATAATGCTAGAACCTTCCCTACCTTTAAGACGGATGCGACCACATGAACAGATTCGCTGTATGGGTTCACTTTGACGCCAGAATTTAGTTTCTCCTTTAGGACATGGCAGGATTTTATATTGGCTGAGTTTCTGAATATGCCTTCTGTGAGGGGCCCTTTTTGATTAATAAAGGAAAGCATACCCTGTAGGAACAAAAGAAAAGTATATGGCATCTCATATCCACAAACGCAGAGCACAAGCTTGCCTCCATTTTGAAAGAGGAGGGGAATGTAATGGTACACTGTTTTAGAGCGGGAAGGACCAAAGTCAATTTAGATTGTTGTTTTTTTTTTTTTTCAGTGTCTCTCTATATACTTTCTACCCAAATATCCATTTTACAGTCATACACTGAAACAATTTAAACAGTTCTTTTAAGCAGATTTTCCTTTCAATTAAGTTTCCACTCTTAAATCAAACTTCTCTGCTTCAAGGCCTTTGCGGAATCACCATCTGTTTCCTACTTTACCATTCTTTTCTCATTATTCCCTTATGGAGATGCTCTTCCCCAATTATGGAAGTCTATTTAGGGAATACTCATTTCCCATTTGTTTATTTTTCTTTAAGTGACTGTATACTCCTTTCCTACTTGTTCTATTTCCTTCCCTCTTTTAAAGTCAGGCCCAGAAAATCTCTTCTCTTTCTCTGATTACCCTCCCTTCTCATGAGTCTTAAATTCTCTTTTGCTCTATCTTCATGTCCTCTCTCTGCTGTGTAGAATCTTAATAAGGGCTGGACTCAGGGCATAAAATGGATCTGAAGTCTATTATGCTACTTATCTATTGTGTGAGCTGGGGCACATACATACTGTACTGAGGCTTTTCTGATTCGGTTAGGAATTGTGGAGGATGATAATCCTAGCTAGCTCCTAAATTTGCTGTGATACATGGAAATGGGGTAGTAGCTAGCAGGTAACAAAGTAGCTAATATGATACATTTTTTCATACCTAGCAGAACATTCCCTACATCCCGTACAGTGCTTGCAGAGACACTGAATACTCAGTGAATGTCCACACTGACAATTCACTACAGCAGTTTGAGATAACACAGGCCAAACTCTGTGGCTTTCATTCAAAATATTCTGTTAGGATTAACAGATTCCTATTTGCCAGAGGATGAGTCTATGCTCATTTCAGATGTTTGCAGTTGTTAGACTGAGTAGACTCCACTGAAGGAGACTTGAGACTCATGTGAGTGCAGGAAGGCAATGGAGAGTGTGAAGATGAGGTGGACTCTCAGAGACTCACATACACAGAGTCCTTTTTGACTGATCTGAAGAGGCCTCGGTGGGTCTTTGTGGAAACAAGACCCATATGGAATGGATAAGAAAGCCTTTTCCTGTTGTATTTGCCTCATGAGTCTGCTGGACCTAAGTCAGATTCTGTTCCTTGAAATAACAGTAACAGATCTTCTCAGCCCAAGCCAGGGGCTGTCTAATGACTGCTCCATTTGGGGATAGATTTGGATGAGGACACGTGGCCTCTCAGAGTTTCCCCTCCTCAGGAGGGCTATAGAAGACCAAAAGGAGATGACCTACCAGAATTGGGAAGGGCAAGTTGTCTTTATCACACACATCCATGAGGGAAACTCCAAAGAGCTGTCCTGGCTTTGTGGAAGGTGGGGATGTGCACTGGGTGTGGTGGTAAGTGCCTGAGCCCCACCAAAAGGCCCTGTCTCTGAAAAAATGGCTTTTCACAGTCTTCCGACCGGAGTCTAAGGAAGAAGAGAGAGTACTATTAGTAGTAGTTGTTGTTTAATACGCTGAAATTTCTTTGTCCTTTTTTTTTTTTTTACACATTTTATTTATATTTTGACAGAGGGAGAGAGACAGCGAGAGGGAACACAAACAGGGGGAGGGGCAGAGGGAGAAGCAGGCTTCCCTCGGAGCAGGGAGCCCGATGCGGGGCTCGATCCCAGGACCCCGGGATCATGACCTGAGCTGAAGGCAGAAGCTTAATGACTGAGCCACCCAGGCGCCCCAGACTCATCTTAATTCCTGATGACTTGTATTTTCCTAAAGATTTCCTCAAAGCAATGTGGTAAGCATCATAAAACCAAGAAATGTCAGAAATATGGAGGGATTGATGATACGTGTCTCCAGGTTCTGTATCGAAAGTCTACCTTCTAAGGTGGACTGCTGCCAGGTAGCTGTGATTAGCTAGGCTCAAATCGTACTAGCTCTAGTCTCAGGGGCACTTCTCCTAGTCCTATTAATGGCTTTTTTTGGATTCCATCCATCATCTTATTTAGTGTTTACCACAATTCTAAGATTTAGACATTATTTTATCTACATTTTAGAGATGAATAAACTGATGGTGAGCTAGAAAAAGTGATCAAAGGTAATATAGCTGGTAAATGGGGGCACAGGAATTTACACTCCGGAGAGTTTTTTGACATCAAGTCAAGTCCTTTTTTCTCAATGATGCCAGTTCTTTTCAAGCCCTTTCAAAGGCCACTGGAATCCTGTGGTGTCTCAATAGCCCCTGAGCCAAAAGAGGAGGGAGGGGAAGAAAGGCCCCTTGCTCTGGCTTCAACCAGAGCACATCTAATATATATAAATATATATATTATGGTTATATTTATATAGTATAAGTATCTAATTATGTATTATATATATATAACTACATATATATGTATGGTGTTGTATATATATAGATAGATATATAGCACCCACTTAGAATTTTGTTAGAAAAAATTCCCAAACACTGTAGCATACCATGATGAGTCCTAATGCCCTTATGATCTACACTAGAAACTTCTTGAAGTCAGACACCTCATCTTATCCTTTCTTTGGTCTCACAACAGTGTGGAACCTCCCTTGACCTGTGAGCCAGCCTTCGGAAGAAGGAGCCCATGGAAATCCTTGCCCTGGCGATGCTCTGGGCTCCAGAACAGCTCTGTCTAAGCATCTCCCATGACCCCTGGCAACCTTGCTGTCTGCTTCTCACTAAAGCCAATTAAATTACTCCCGGTACCTGCAGCCTTCTCGCTGTTACCATGATTCATTGAGTTCTCGCCCAAGAGGGAAGTGATGTCTTCTCCAAATATTCTGAGGCAATTTTCAATGAGAAATTGTACAAGACATATCTGTAACACAAAAAGACAAGAATGGGGTGCTCTTTTCCATAGGGCATAGTTATAAATCACATTTTGTACATAGACCTTGGATCTAAGAAAAAATGTGAAGGACTTCTCAAAAAGATTCAGAGTTGATAAAAATATGTAGAAACCAGGGGCGCCTGGGTGGCTCAGTCGGTTAAGCGTCTGCGTTCGGCTCAGGTCATAATCCCAGGGTGCTGGGATCAGCCCTACATCGGGCTCCCTGCTCAGCGTGAAGCCTGCTTCTCCATCTCCCACTCCCCCTGCTTGTGTTCCCTCTCTCGCTGTGTCTCTCTCAGTCAAGTAAATAAATAAAAGCTTAAAGAAAAAACAAAAAAAACCAAAAACACATA